TGAGAGAAACGTTGTCTTTCACAAAGCTGAAAATTTCACTCTTCAGACTGAAGGATTTTGTTATATTTTTTATTATTTAATTTTGATTGGCACTCTTCTATATCTCTTACTTTGCAGATTTGTTCACAAGCTTGCTCTCAAATTATTTAGTGGGGATGTTCATCAAGCTTCATTTCGCATCCTTACAGATTTCCGGAAAGGTAAATTTGGCTGGTTTTCTCTTGAAAGACCTCCCAGGTAGAGCTTCTGATGAAACTGAAAGCAAAATGGAGAAAAAGTGATTGGAATATGAAGGTGAGTAGTACTCTTGCATATATACTTGTTATTGCTCGTAAAAATCTTCAGCAGAGAACTCAGCCACGGTTAGCCCGGAGATAGATATTTGGACAAGCTGAGTAACCATTGAGAATAGGGCTATGTTTTGACAGCCATTAGAGAGATTGTGTCCATTGAATGCTTTGCAGTGATTACGTTTGTCATGGATTACTGCTTTGTTTCTTCATGTATTGAATATCTTGTATGGTACTGTACAGTGTAGCCGTCCTGTAAATTGTATGACAGAAACATAGAAGACATACATGCTATTAGAATTAGACTTGAGCATATTGCAGACTGCTAGTGCATAATCAATCAGGAGCAGACAATGTGTTGTACTATTGTATTTGTATACAGAACTATTATTCTTCTTTTGAATTTACTATTTTGATTTGGTTGCAGTTTTGATTACCCAGGTATAGCATTACTGAATTCAAAAGATGAAATTCGATATTTTTCTACTGAAAACTTTGTATACAGGACAAGAATCTGAATAGTTGACTTCTCAATTTCTCATAACTGAATTCAAAAGATGAAATTCGATATTTTTCTACTGAAAACTTTGTATACAGGACAAGAATCTGAATAGTTGACTTCTCAATTTCTCATAACTACTTATCAATGAATTTCAACTAGGACTTCCAATCCTTTCTGTAGGACTATAGATGCACTAAGCAGAATTGCATGAATCATATTCATAAGCATCTAACAACCAAGAACAATGTACAACACATAAAGAACATAAAATTATACATTTGAATCGTGATTCTACATGTGATTGAGCAAGAACAACAGGAAAACTAGAACTCCATATGTGATTCCTCTACTTAGTCCACAAGCACGGATTGAACCTCCACTAATGCTAGTTAGTTGTGATTAAACCCTTTCAATCAACCTTCTACGGAGAGGAGAGGAACGAACTAACCACGATCCACCACGACGCGGTTTGGTGAAAGGGGGAGGGCGTGCGTGAATGAGGAGAGAGAAATTAGGGTTTTGGGAATTGGTTGCCTTGTTTCACAATTTACTGACTGTTAATTATGTCTTATATCAACCCTAGACATGGACTATATTTATAGATCATATCTAAAATAAGAGTCCATGTTAAGCCCAAATTCCTAACTCTATTCTAACTACTCTAGCTCAAACCCTTACATGGTTTGTCATAGCCTCATGAGGCCCATTAATGGACATCACACTTGTTCAATCCAATACCCTTGTGTGTGACCTCATAGGATCCATTCTATTTGGCTTTGAGACTATTTGAGTAGCTCAAAGATCATTTATCATATCTAGCAACAGATGATGACGACCCAAAAGAATGAACTAATTATCTCCATAATAGTGATCCTTAATATATTTAGTAATTGCACTTGACGGAGACATACTTCCTTCACTTTCAACCCCCAATTCCAAAACAGTTAATCCTCTCTTTACTTCTCTCTCAATTTGTCCTTTGTTCCTCCCTTACTGTATGAACACGGTGAAAACAAGGTAGGCATCGCCAGTAATATAGCTGGCGGTGGGGTTTGTTTTGGGTGGTAGTGAGAATTCGGGGTGGTTTTTGTCTTCCTTTTTCCATAGCAAGAGGCCTAATACCGCCAAACCAACGGGGGAAGGGTGATTTTGGTGGCAAAAAACAGTTGGTTATCGAGGCTTGATGGTGGCAGTTGTGGTAATGAGCCAATGAGGCATGTTGTTGGGTATAACTGGTAGTCTGGTACTATATAATGAGTAATGGTGTATAAATATGGGTAGAGTTAATCATAGGCTCATTGTAGTTTTAGCAATTTTATTAAACGATAGTCTCTTTTTTTTTTTTTTTTTTTTTTTTTTTTTTTTTTTTTTTTTGGGTGCAAATAAAACGATAGTCTTCCTAAACTTGATTAATCTAAATTGATGAAGTTAAAAAAATTTCTTTAAGGTTTACGACTCTACTCCCGGGTCTATAGTACTTTTTCTTATATAATTAATTTGGTCATGGAAAAATATTTATTTTTGTAACTTAACATGACACGTTATACAAATGGAGAATCTTGACTTCTTCACAAAAAAAAAAAAAAACGGGAACCTTGACTGTGTGACTGTTTCCTTGACATTGTGGCTGTTTAAGGTGGGTAACGTAATTGATTATGGCGAAAATTTATAAAAACGACAAAGGTAAACTCGTAATGATATTTTTTGTCTGCGTGTAAAGCTCAATAATTGTGTGAGCTTTTACTTTATATCACAACCTTTTGCCCTAACTTACCTCACAAAGTGTTATCCTGATCATCAACCCTTTAAAAGAGGGAATAAGTGTTACCGTTACCGTGAATAGTAAATTGGCGTCATTATCCTTACTCTTTCATTGTATTAGCGAATCTGCCATTCCTTTTATTATTTCTTATTTTTATTTAAAAAAAAAAAAAAAAACTAATTGAAATTACTTGAGAAAGAGAACGACGGAGAAGAGGTGAGACAATGTTCCTTGATTTAAGGCATGAGATTGTTTGCATGTGTTTTAAGTGATTATAGATTAGGTTTTTTTTTTTTTTTTTTTTTTTTTTTTTTTTTTTTTTTTTTTCGGGTGGAATGTCATTCTATATATAAGGTTTGAATTAATTTAGAAGAAGTATATTTGCTCTTTCATTTCTACTGTACTCTTGTTGTTCTCTTTGTTGAAACTCAATCAGTAAAATTGATCAACCAATATTCAAGTAATTTGCAATTACTACATTGTATAAGCATGCATTGCTTTTGTACAAAGAACTTACCTTATCAAATGGACCAATATCATACGTATTCATGACTATGAACATTTTCATTTACTAAGATGAACAAATTATTGGATGCATATATGATATTGTTTTTGATTAAAGCTTAATCTTGTTTGTTTAGAAAAAGTCAGAAATTTATTTATTCCAAGTGATCAATTGATGCATGATCTTTATGAGTGGCATGCATCCATATAATGTTATTGATTTAAGTATATTTATTTACTTGTTAATTATTCACAATTCAGTAATTCGGAGGAGGTATTTTGGTGAACATCATCTATTTTCTTTTTTGTTAAATTGGACATAAATGATATTGTTTTGGATTAAAAACTTGTCTGTTTTTAAAAAGTCAGAAATTTCTTTATTTTAAGTGATCAATGGATGCATGCTTTTTATGAGTTACATGCAACCATATAATGTTATTGATTTAGGTATATTTATTTACTTATTAATTATTCACAATTCAATAATTTGGAGGAGGTATATATTTTGGTGAATACTATCTATTTCCTTCTTTGTTAAATTTGTATGTTTTTGGCTTTATGTTCATATATGGACTGTCAATAGTGTGTAATTAGTGTGGAATTAGTTTGTAATTAGTGTGTCCTGTTTTTAGAATGGTGTTTTATGTTATGCATATGTGGGTTTGGAGTGTATGCATGTATCTTTTTTTGGGTTTTATGTGAATTTGTTTCTGGTTATTGATTTGTTGTGGAGTGGATTCTCTAGCTAGATTGGTTCAGTTTAAGTTACATCATAGTGTGATAAAATATTTTAGTGTAAATTGTGTTCTGAATTATATAAGGTGGTTTATGGACTTATATTAAGGTTCTAAAATTCATGACAAGTTATGGATGCACTGCCCACACAAGTAGTGATTCCATTTTTCCCTTTGTTGAAGCAAGTTACCAATTTATTGAATTTTCTTGATCCGGATTACCGAATTCTCCATGACCGTGAGAGCACTGCTTGTGTGATTGTCAGGGCAGATAGTGATTGCATTCCCTGTGTTTATATTGGTGGGGATACTGATAATGTAGAGGAATCTTGTGAAGTTGCTACTAGGAAAGTTGTGTGTGATCTTGTGAAGAAGTATGAAATAGTTATTGAGGATGTAACAGCCCTACGAAATGAAATGTATGATCGTTGTGGGCAATTGTATTGCTTTAAGAAAAAGGAACTAGAACATATTGAGAAAGGAGAGCCTAAGGTCTATGTGCATGAAGGTGTCTCTGTTGAATCTGAAAACAACCGCAAGAAGATTGTTATTGATTTCCTTGATGTGTTAAGGACTATTTTAAGGTCTGTTGATTTGAGGTGTACTCCGATTGAGACTATTGAGCATCTTTCTGATCAGTATATTTCTTGGTTTGTTGTCTATTTAGTGACTACTGTCCAAGTCCAGCTGCAGCTAAGCAAAATCTGGCTAGAAAGGCTGTTGATTATCTTATTAATGTGTTCAATCTTCAGATTGTGGATGCTAATTATAGGGAAACAACATGTAGGTTTGATGTTATATTGTGTACTTTGGATAGGGAGAGTTATTTAAGAGTCAAGGAACGTGTGTTGGGAATTAAAGAAGAGCTTAAACCTTCTGCAGCTCTTGTTGAGCAGGATTGTATAACTTCAGTTGTAAAGGAGTTTCAAGTTCCTGTGTCAGTGTCACCTGTCATACCTTCTAACAAGCGCTCTTTATGGTCTGTAGTTGGAGAAGGTTTAGATGCTAGCTTTAAGCGTATAAGGTTTTCAGAGGACTAGATGTCTTTTATTTGAACTTGGATTGTAGTAGAAACATCTCTGTATTGCTTAGTTCTTTGTTTTTCTAAAAGAGCTAGGTTAGTTTATGCATAGACAGCAGAATGTAGTTACTTTTGGAATGTATATGATGTAGATGGTTGCTTAGTTATGCTTTTGTATTGGACTTCTATGGATGAAGTTGCTACCAATGAGTATCCTTCACAGCTTGTGAGGCTGTTTACTTCTATGGATGAAGATGCAAAGCATTTTAGACAATATGTGCGATTATACAACAATTTATTTGCTTTTACTTCATTAGGTGGGAATTTTGATGCTAAGACGAAAAAAGGCATCTATGTCTTCAAGTTACATGGATAGTTCTATCATTATATTTCTAGTTTAGTTCCAGGAGATGTAAGGCCAAAGTATATGCAGCTCTATTTTTATGATGGACAACATGAAATGGCTGGCTTGGATGTTTTCCAGAATTAAGAGAAGATGTCTTAGCAATACTTATGGTGGTTTCTACATTAAATCCTTATGCTAGATTCTTTCGATCTTTATGAGAACTTCCAGTTACTGAATCAACACAGATTATGATAAATAAAACTACAGTTCCGGATCAGCCTGTTTATAATGCTCCTACAACAGATGAGGTTGCAGTAATTTGGCCGGAGAGCACATCTTCCAGTGAATCTGAAAGTCCACACATATTGGTTACTAGTCATAATGATTCTTCTTAAAGGATCATGCATTATTATGGTTGTTATGATCCTTTGCAATATCCACTACTTTTTCCATATGGTGATTGTGGGTGGACTCAGGGCCTTAAAAAAATGTCCAAGGGTGGAAGACAGCAGATACAGTCTCAACCAGATCCTGTTGCTCAATGCAGTGTGCACACTACTGAGGACTTATTAAAAAAAGAGACCAGACGTATGTCGTTTCTGTATTTTGGGTTTAAAGAACATGTTCTCATAAAATTCCGATTATGTTTTATTACGTATCAAGTTAAAAGTTTTATTATTACTACTCGATACAATTATAATGTATTATATACAAATATGGTTTTACAGGTGCAAATGGCAGTTCATCTAAGACTGATAAAAATATTTCAGCACGGGAATACTACGCATATAAGCTTCAATGTCGGCCTAATAATTTAGTACTTAGATCTGGTAGGTGTTTTCAACAATATATAGTTGATAAGTATGTAAAGGTGGAGAACACACGATTGGATTTCGTTCGTACAAATCAACAGACAATAAGGGTTGATCTTTATCAAGGACTTCTTAATACTATTAACTGTGGTGAAAATTTTGCTGTAAATGTAGGAAGAAGAGTTATGTTACCTGTAACATTTATTGGAAGTCCTCGTGACCTTAAGTAAAGATATCTAAATGCAATGTCATTGGTTCAGAGGTATGGTAAGCCTGATCTATTCATAACAATGACATGTAATGCCAATTGGCCAGAAATAAAACAAGAGCTTGCTGTTAGAGAAGATGCACAAAATAGGCATGATTTAGTTGCAAGGATTTTCAGAGCAAAGGCACTTGCTTTAAATCACTTAATTAAAAAAAAGGTGTTTGGAAAGGTGGCTACGATGATCTATGTTATTGAATTTCAGAAAAGAGGATTACCTCATGCTCATTTTTTGATTATATAAAAGCCAGAGTTCAAAATCAAGTGTCTTACTGATTATGATAAATATGTGTTTGCCAAAATACCATATGTTGAACATGCATATCTAAGGCAAATTGTGATTAAACATATGATGCATGGCCCATGTGGTCATCTAAATCCAGAATGTCCTTGCATGAAGCATAAAGAGGATCCTGATTATTGCAAATATGGCTATCCAAAGAAATTTTGTGATGAAACTAGGAGTAACAGTGATGGATATCCTCTGTATCGAAGAAGAGCAACAGAAGAAACTGCTAGAGTCCGGAATGTTGTTATGGATAATATATGGGTTATTCCATATAATCCATATCTTTTATCATACTTCAACTGTCATTTAAATGTCGAAGTTTGTTCTACTATAGAGGCAATTAAATACCTATATAAATATGTCTACAAAGGACATGATAGGATATCTTTCAATATTGTTGAAACAAGATATGGTGCACCACTGCAGGATGAAATTGAGCAATATCAGTCTGGTCGTTGGATTTCACCTTGTGAGGCTGCATGGTAGCTTTTTGTTTTTGATTTGTATGAAATGCATCCTCCAGTATTACCTCTTCCTGTTAATTTTCCTAATTCACAAGTCATACATCTCAAACCTCATGAACAGCTTACAACAGTTGTTTCATATGATAAGCGTTCGCGAACTTGTCTTACAGAATTTTTCAAGATGAATTCTAAGTTACCTCTTGGGATTGGACGGTTATATAATGAATTTTCAGAGCATTATCGTTGGGATGCATCAGACAAAAAATGGTATAAGAGACAAAATAAAAAAATAACCATTGGAAGGCTAGCATTTGTTAGACCTTCCGAGGGTGACAGATATTTTTTGCGGCTATTGCTTCACAATGTCAGAAGTCCTAGTCATTTGAAGATCTCCATACAATCAATGGTCAGTTATGTGCTACTTTCCAGCAGGCAACACTTAAGCTTGGATTATTGGAAGAGGATGATGCAATAGAATTATACTTAAAATAAGGATTTGCCATTCAAATGTCGTTTGCAATTCGTAAGCTATTTGCAATGTTGCTTATCTTTTGTCAGCTTAGCAATCCTCTATCTCTATGGAATAAATTTTATCAGTCTTTATCTAAAGATTATCAATACAGATATTCAAAGGATCCACGTAAAGTCAAACATCTTACTATAAGATCTATTGAGCAATATGTTGAGTTAATAGGAAGTAGTCTTAAAGCTTTTGGATTAGACCAGTTAGTAGAAGATGATAGTGAGGCAATACATATTACAAAAGACGTTGAAGATGCAATTAATGCTCTAATACCAAAAGAATGTCTGGAATGTAAAGAAAAGTTGAATCAGGCTCAACGAATTGCGTTTGATGCTATAGTGGATTGTGTTATAAATGATAAGACTGGAGGGTTTTTTTATAGATGGTCCTGGAGGAACAGGAAAAAGTTTTTAGTATAATGTCTTGAATGCAGAAATTAGATTAATGAAAAAAATTATTTTACCAACAACAATTTCAGGCATTGCTGCAGCTAATATTCCTTCTGGCAGAACTGCTCATTCCTGATTTAAAATACCTTTAGATCCTCTTGCTTCTCTTGCTTGCAATGTTCCAAAACAAGGAAGTCTTGCTGCACTGCTAAGGGAAACAACCTTAATTATATGGGATGAAGCTTCAATGGCAAAAAAGGAGAATATCGAGTCTCTTGACTTGTTATTGAGGGATATATGCAATCCTGAATTGCTGTTTGGAGGTAAGTTAGTTGTTTTTGGTGGAGATTTCAGGCAAGTTCTTCCTGTCGTTCCTCGAAAGACACAACGAGAAGTTGTTGCTGCAAGTGTAGTTAGTTCAGCTGTGTGGACGAAGTTAGTCAAATTTAAATTAATTGAAAACATTAGAGCTAAACATGATCCTCCATATACTTATTTTTTGTTGGCACTAGGGAATGGTGAATTACAAAATAGTGAACATGCATTTATTAAGCTTCCATCGAGTATCGTTGAATCTTCTGATACTGATATAACTGATGATATGCGTCTTACTGCTGTAGCTTTCCCAGAGATGGACATGCCTTCATTTAGCTCAGATATCTTTACAACAAGAGCTATATTGACTCCGATGAATGATGATGTTGATGTCATAAATTAAGGCTTAATAGGCAAATTTCCTGGTGAAGCAGTGATGTATAAAGGCTATGATACAATGATTGATGATAATGCTGCCACCTATCCTGTTAAGTTTTAAACAAACTATGTCCTGGTGGTATGAGTCCTCATGAACTCATACTTAAAGTGAACAACCCAGTTGTTTTTTTGAGAAATATTCTGCCATCATATGGTCTATGCAATGGAACAAGACTTATATGCAAGCGGTTCTTTCCTAACCTAATTGAGTGCGCCATTGTTGTTGGTCATAATCAAGGGCAACATGTACTAATACCAAGAATAAACTTGCGCCCCTCAGAATCTTCAGGGTATAGGGTATGCTTTTCTGTTTCAAAGGAAGCAATTTCCTCTCAAGCTCGGTTTTGCAATTACAATAAATAAAGCTTAGGGACAAACACTTAGTAAAGTTGTGGTATATCTTCCACGACCATGTTTTTCGTATGGTCAGTTATATGTTGCTCTTTCTCGAGCTCGAGAATCAGTTAATGTTAGTGTCATAGCTCAAGGCAATACTCTGGAACAAAAAACTGATTATGTTAAAAATGTTATATCCTTTGACATTCTTCAAATGGCAGGAATTATTTGATTATATCACTAGGTAATACAACATACCCTATTTCAAATATGTGTTTTTATACAATATGCATCGTTTATGATTTATTTTTTTTCCAAGTTCAATATTGAATGAAGTTTTTTTTGTTTAGTTTAAAAATGCAGGACAAACTATCAAATGATAAATTATTCTGTAAGTATTTTGCAATTTAGAAATATGTATACTTATTTAGAATTAAAGCTTAATTTAGTTTAATAATATCAGTAATGGTTTATTTTCCTACAATGATGTAACAACATGGAATCTAACTTATCAGTACAAGTGAAGAAGACTAATTAAGAAAGATCTTTCATTTTTCTTTTAACTATTCCAACTAGCAACTTAAGATTATACATTATTATTATTAGACTAAATAGAATACCTAAAGTTAGCTAGACTTGTCCTCCCCCTAGGAATAGGAAAACCAAAAAAAAAAAAAAAAAAAAAAGAAGAGAGAGAGAGAAACAAAGAAAAAAAAAAATGACAAGTTTTTTTGCTTTTTAAAAAATTATTAAATCTTTGCAGTGTAGTTTGTTAGCAAAAAGCTAGATCCCCATTTGCTTAATGGATTAGTAGAATATGATACATGTGAGAACTTATAGCAAAAAGTTGTATCAAGCAATGCTATAAGTTCAATTAATTGCAATTACGGAGAAATTGCATCATATAGAGTACAATATGATGACTTTAAGAATTCCTATATGATGCATGTATAATTGTTGCTGCTTTCAACACAATCAAAGACTATTTTGAAGCATGCTAAAGAAAAAAAAAATGGCTTATATTATCAAATGTTTAACACATTCTAGAACCCTGAAAAATGTGAAATTTGTTTGAATATATATACATACATATATATATACATACATATATATATATACATACATATATATATATATACATACATATATATATATACATACATATATATATATATATACATACATATATATATATATATATATTTGTACATTTCATAAGACATGCATGGATTTTAATGTCTTCATTGTTACCATATCAATTTAATATTGTAAATTTCTTATTTAAATCCAAGATCTTAATTATAAAGTGAAAACATTCAGGAAATAGAGTTATTTTTCATTTGAAAGTAATATGTATATATTTGATTAGGCGTGCGTGTTATTTAGTTCCTTCATTGCCACCATATTGATTTAATGTGCTCCATTATAAGTGGGTTCTTGTTGTTTCTACCTACACTTATCTGTAAAGATTGCTTCCATATAAATTTTAATCTGGTTGTAAGATGTATGTCATCTATTGTGAAATTAATTATTGCCTTTTCCATAGTTAAATGTGTGGAATTTATGTTTATCAAATGTAAATATATACTATGTACAATAATTTGTTAAAATATGTTAAATCATGCCTTACGCAGGTCATTTCCATGGCACTTTTACGAAAATACCTAGATGAACTTGATATAGCAACTAGATGCAATAAGGTTAAAGTAAGGGTTGCAGAAAAAGGTCGTCCTCAAAAATCTAAAAAAAATTGTACGTTATCACTATATTATTTTAGAAGATGACAAGATACAATAGCTTTAATCATTACGTGCTTATCTTCCCTATCATAAATCACAAAATTGAACAATATTGTGACATGTTTTTTAAATAATTGTTGCTGACAGAAAAATCGGATTAAAATGACACTTTTTGGCAATCAATTTGAAGCATATTGGAATGTTATCAGCTTCAGGGGCAACTATGAAATAGCTGATGCTGTAGTCAGAACTCTAGATTTATAGTGGAGAGGTAGGGAAGATGACCTTCCATTTCAAATGGCATTGGGAAGTAAAACTCTCATTCAATCTATTGACCCAGAAGGAGAATCAGTTTATCCTAGATATCAATCTCTTGCATCTATTCCAATAGTTCCTGTTGATGATGAGAGACATGGTAAACAATTCAATTAAACTAGCAACATGCAGAGTTTATCGTTCATTTAACTAGAAACATGCAAAGTTTATCCTAATAAAGAATACATACATTAACTCTGTTTCTTTTGTCATAGACATTCTTGTAATTGTTATGAATGTTTTGAAGGAATAAAGAAAAATAGTGACAACTCAGAACAAAGAAGCATCTGTTCGAGATCTAATGGTGATTGATCACAGGTAGTAGTTATTAAATTACAATCTAGCTGAACTAATTGCAATAAATGGTTTTCATTTCATCAAAACATACTAATTATTATTAATATTCTAACTACAGCACTAATCAACTGGTGAAAGTATCTACTTGGAATGATCTGTCTGGAGATCAATGTGAAACGCTTGTTTCAGACAACGAGTCTTTTAAAGTAGTTGGCATCACAGCATTGCGTCCTATCACTCGCCAAGGTATGACAGAATGAACTTTATTAATTCACTAACCTAAAATGTAACACATTTATGGAATATAAATATAATACAGGTATTAACATTCAAAAAATTATAGGGTTTGCACTTGAATCAACCATGTATACTTTTATAATCAAAGACCCTGAAGATGAAAAAGCAACAGCTTTAGCTGAATGGTATAATATCTCAAAATTGTTTTGAATTACTTATTTTAAAATGTATAGATATTCATTTATAGTGCCATTAGATTCTTATTTCCTTTTTTTTTACGAGTACAACAAAGGGAAAAGAAACATCGAGTTATGCTAATTGATCAGCAAAGAGACTGAATGCTGCTAGTAATCATTTAGCAGAAAGAACTCTAACAACTATAGGTCGTCTCAAAGGGGAAAAGGTACATTATAAGATATAGCACCTAATTGAT